TTATTTGACAGAGAGAGACACAGCGAGAGAGGGAACACAAGCAGGGGGAGCGGGAGAGGGAGAAGCAGGCTTCCCGCCGAGCAGGGAGCCCGACGCGGGGCTCGATCCCAGGACCCCGGGATCATGACCTGAGCCGAAGGCAGACGCCTAACGACTGAGCCACCGAGGCGCCCCAAGGGACATAACTTTAATACAATTCATTTGTATTGTCAAATTTCTTTCACAGGAAAACTAAAGGTCAGAGCCATTTATAACCCAACCAAAGGGACAGGAGTGGATGTGAGAGTAGGGTTGTATTTATTTAATACTATTATTGTATCACCTCACAGTTAAACCACCTGGGGAAACTGAGACGCACACTGATGAGGCCGCCTTGTTGCTTGTGGTTGGAGCTGGGAACCGATGTTCTCCTCCCCTAGCCAGGATCGCCCCTACTTCATCATAGCCCTGTGGAAATTTGTTCTCCTGGAAATTCTACCAGGAGCCCGACCGCACTGTGGTGCCTGGCTCTCTCGTATCTGGTCTTCCCCTCCGATAAAGGATAGGGTTGGCCCAAACCAGCAAACTGGATACATGTTTGCCTCGCAAACCAAACAAACCCTTCTGTTTTTGTTTTGCTTTGTGTCCGGACTAATTCTTAGCACCTCTTCTGCCTGTGAGCGATCGGTCACTTCCTTCCGTAAGACTGGCACCAGCAGACATGCAGTCTCAGAGGATCCCGGGGAGAAAGCGAGGCCGACCCCCGCTTCACTCAACACCTATGAAGATGGCGGTTCATAACCTTTATTCCGCTTCAGCTGGCTCTTTGCCAGCAGTGAAGATTCCAAAGAAAAGAGGGCGGAAGCCTGGGTACAAGGTACGGCTCCCTCATCTTCTCTCTCCACGGTGACGCGGGGCTGGGCCACGGGAGCGCGGGCGGAAGGCCCCTGCCCGCCGTGAGGGAAGGGCGGACAGCTGGGGCCCGAGCGGCCGGGCACTAGGTTTCTCTCAGGCAAGCGCGTCACGGACAGGGCCTCGTTGTTCCCCCGGCACACAATGCATGCGGCCCCTGTCGTGTGCATTTTTACAAGCAGAGAAAGCAAATTGCACCAGATGGGGAAAGTTGTAAGGCGAGCAGATTTTAGGGTCATAGCTAAACACACGTTATTAAGCCTCGCATCTAAATTAGTGTTTCAGACACCGCGTTTCCCCCTAACCGGGCCTCTTAGGGCGGCGCTCGAAGCCACTTTCCAGAACTCCTTCGTCGTTGGTTTTAGTAGCAGCAGATGATGTTCCTGAGACATCTGAATTAATAATGTGTGCAGGCTCGTGGCAAAGGACACGGGAGCGCTTTCCCAAACAGAGCCCCAACAAGGGGACTCATCACGAAAATTCGGGGTGTTAATTCATAGTTTCCTGCTTATAAAAAGTGCTGACTCAAGTTTGGCTCCAAGGAGGCCTATCAGGCAGAATTAAAATCCCGTGACCCTTTGAAGACTTAACAGTTTGGAGTGGCGGGGGGTGGAAAAGAAATTCTCGGATGTAATTGCAATCACATAAGGCAATCTGAACCGAAGGAGGGAGAGCTTCTCCTCCCAGAGGTTTTTGAAGAGGCTACTAGAAAAGAAAGACTATTGAGTTTGTTCTTCACGAGCCTTTTGGGCATTAGAAAATGAGCTTCAGAAGTTTTCCTTCATTTATTTTTCTTGAGATAAAGAGCTTATGTTTCCATCTTGAGATCTGAATACTCAAACCAAAATGCAAATTGGCAATTAACTCCCATATATTTAGGAAAATGTATGGAAATTATTTCAGGTCAGCAGGAAGACTAAGCTTCCGGAAGAATTGGTAATGAATTCAACCTTTATCCCTTTAGTTCTCTGCAGTTCCTCCAACTGCTGGAAAATAAAACCGGTAGGTGGGGGGAAGGTGACTCCAAGTTATTTGGGGGTCACGGGCTTTAGTAAAAGGAGCTTTTACTCAGCCATCTCCTGAAGTAGAATCTTCTGTCACTGCTTATTTTTCTAACAAAGAGAGACTCCTTTTTCTCATGGGCACGTCAGCTTCAGTAAGCTTCAGATTGTGTCTCTGAAGCGGGCACGGGGCGGGTCTTCCCAGCTCGGCTACCTGTGCCATTGCTAAGGTGCGGGAGTTGGGTCTGGAAGGCTGGAGCAGGGCAGCCTGCTATCAACAGAAAGTTGATAGAGCCAGGGAGCAAATCCAGGATCTGAGGAAACACACTGAAAACTCCTCTCTCCTAGTTGGCCTTTCTCCTACTCCCCTGGGAGCTGTGACCCAAGCATGAAAATTACCGACAGACACAGCATTTCTAGGGCCAGGAAAAATGGAAATTCAGTCCATGGAATGAGCCCGACTTGGCAATTGTCCTGTGTCCTAAAAGGGGCAGTTTTCAGGGCTCCTAACACATAGAGACACCTCGGGGCAGGAAGAAAGCTTTTGGGGTGGTTAGCTGACAATCCGGGTCCTACAACATGGCAGGCAGGTCTCATGCCCACGCCTCATAGGGACAACAGGCCCCAGCTCTTCCTCGAGTCCACCTTCCACGTATTTGGGGAAATGTGTGGGAATTATCTCAGACCAGCAGCTCCCGGACAGCTCCCCAGGCCGTGGGTTTGGTGTTCGGGAATGACTCCAAACCAGGTGCCTTCTGCTGGAAGTGCTGACTCCCTCGTGGTGATGCAAGAAAAATAAGAACCATGTGAAAATCTTCATAAAGCTACAATGATTCCACCCAAAGGATCCTCCTTTATTCTGAAACTTCCTACTATTTTTTTTTTAAAGATTTTATTTATTTGACAGAGAGAGACAGTGAGAGCAGGAACATAAGCGGGGGGGAGTGGGAGAGGGAGAAGCAGGCTCCCCGCCGAGCAGGGAGCCCGATGCGGGGCTCGATCCCAGGACCCTGGGATCATGACCTGAGCCAAAGGCAGACCCTTAAGGACTGAGCCGCCCAGGAGCCTCTGAAACTTCCTACTGTTTTGGTGTTAAAATTTATTTTATTTAAGTGTCGTACGTTGTCATGACTTGGGAATTTTAAAAAGTGTTTCATTAAATGTTGCATGTTGTCAGGATTTGGTAATTTTTAAAAATGTCCTTACTTGGCAAAATGAATTTGGCAACCTATTAGGTCTCTCCAGTTTTATTCTGACAATTTCTGAGACCCAGAAGCCCCATTTTACCATTAACGAAAAGGTTTTAATTGTGGGGGAGCCAGCAAGGAAACTGTACAATTTCATTTCATTTACCAAATGGCCACTAAAATTTGGCAATGTTAACTATCTGAGATACAGTTAGGGAGACAGAAGTTGTTAAAAAAGAAATCCTGAGCAAGCGAAATAAGATATTACTTGGTCTACCCTTAAAGATCTTGTATTTTACTACTAAGAAAACATTTCCAAGCCCTCCTTCAGAGTCTATTTACCTTTATCATAGGTACATTTCTTACAAGCTCAATTATAGCAATATAATGGCTTTTGATTTGAAGGGGAAGATATTTTGGGAAAGAAAAACGCACACACCTGGACACGGAATAAACATAATAAGAATTTTTGTTATAATTAAATGGTATTTTATTAATAATATAGAATATGATCAATATTATAAAATAATAACAATTGTTATGTCAATAGCATCATTATGATATATTTATGCTAACAATATTGTCATAACAAAATAATCAGTGTTTGAATCTTCGAAAGGCTCTTTTCCAGGAGATTCTGAGGATGCCTGGTTGTGCTGACTGTGTCAAGGTCTATGCTGGTTGCCATTTGTCACTTCTTGCCTGGTGCTCTCCCAAACTGCACTGCCAATCACCTCTGTGTCAAGCACATGTGGAAACTCTCTCTGGTCCAAGTATGGGCACATGCCTTTCTGTTTAAGACCCAGGCACAGCTAACACAGGCTATAATATTTAACCCCTTCTCTGGGTCTTGAGAATAATATGAGTGAATTACAGGCAGAAAAGGAAGAATTCAACTGGTAGTCAGATGTCAGCGCTCCAGAGTTCATAGGTCATGCCCCCCCCCCGGGGGGGGGCCCATTTGCGCGTGTCTCTTGGCCCAGGCCTGCAGCCACATTGCTGGGGCATGCTCACTGCTGTAAGAACATCATTTGATGGCCTTATGCCCCCTTCTCACCCAGTCGAAGGAAGCAAAAACCTCTTCACATCATATTTTCTCTGAAGAGCCATATGCTGACTGACATGGAAACAGCCTTCTTCATTATGGAACTGAATTTACATCTCAGTTTGAAGCATCTGCTATTGGTTTAGTTCAGAGACAACACAAGGTCAACAGATAGATTTTCCTTATATTTCATGACTAAAAAGACCATTAAGGTTGTTTTAAAGAGATAAAGAGAGAGAGTCTATATCAAGGAGAAACTCTAGCTTCTGTTCTGTAGATGCAGCTGATTATAATGTCACCGAACAGTGGGATTTCCAGCTTCTGTGTCTTTATGGTTGGGAGTATGATTGAAGCAGGAAGAAAAAACTGCTGGGTTTTAAAAATAGCTGTTTGTTCCCTCTACATAATAGTAATAGTAATAATAATAATAGCAGCAATAACAGTCATATGTAAAATTCATTGAGCACTTCTGTGTTTGAGGCTCTGGGCCAAAGCAGTTTGTGTGTATTTTCTTATTTGATCCCTGATAGTGAGGGGAGTGAGATAAATGGCAGGAATTAGGGATAAATGAACCAAGTTCCACAGCCTGAGTCCACTTACTGACCTTGGCACTCTCTTTGCATTATTGTTCAGAATAGTAATTATGCTTTCCCATTTACTCTTTCCAAAAAAGAGTAAATTATGTTCTGTCTGCTCTGTTTAATAAGCTTAGAAAAATGTAACATGTTTAGAAAGAATATCATCCCTAAGATATTAAAAACAAATGGTTAACATGTTCTAACATGTTGGCAATTGTGTCATTCGGAATACAAATCCAGTTGCTGTAACAAAGGCCAAACAACAGCGGCTTAAAGAACGTAGAAGCTAACTTCCCTCATGTTAAAGTCCGGGAAGCATCTGAGGGTGATATGATGCCTCCATGGTGTTGGGGACTCAGGCTCCTTCTCTGTTGTTGCTCAGCTGCTCTTTTTTTTTTTTTAAAGATTTATTTATTTTAGAGAGAGAGAGAGAGAGGGTGTGAGCCCAGGGAGGGGCAGAGGGACAGAAGCAGACTCCCCACTGAGCGCACAGCCTGACATAACACGGGGCTCATCCCAGGACCCTGAGATCATGACCTGAGCTGAAATCAAGAGTCAGACGCATAACAGCACTGAGCCACCCAGGTGCCCCTGCTCTGCTACTCTTAGCACCAAGTCTCTACCTCATGCTCTAAAATGACTGTCCAGTTCCCACTACTGCACTAGTCTAGACAGTGGATGGGGGGAGAGGTAGTGGAGGCATGTCTTTCCCCTCAAGGACTCGACCCTCAAAGCTGCACACACCCCTGACACTTGGATCTCACTGTCCTGGACCTAGTCCCTTGGCCACACTTAGAGCCAAAGGAGATGGAGAAATGCAATGCTGGTGCTCAGGTGGCCAGCTAAAATTCAGGGATCCCACTAATAAAGAAAGGGGGCATGGATATTTTGGGGATTAACCAGCAGCCTCTGCTAAGTTCTTAAAAAAGAGTCTTTTTTTTTTTTTTAAGATTTTATTTATTTATTTGTCAGAGAGAGAGAGAGGGAGGGAGGGAGAGAACACAAGTAGGGGGAGCAGAGGCAGAGGGAGAAGCAGGCTTCCTGATGAGCAGGGAGCCCGATGCGGGGCGCGGTCCCAGGACCCCTGGATCATGACCTGAGCTGAAGGCAGAAGCTTAACGGACTGAGCCACCCAGGCTTCCTAAAGAACAGTG